CCGGTTTGGGCCTTCTGAAGGCTTCTTAGGAGCTCCTTCGGAGCCTGTGTGAAAAGCAAGCAGTCATGAGCCCTGTGGCACTTGAACGGTACTTGAGTCTGTCGCAGACATTTGACGAGAGTTGAGAAAGGCCCGAAGATTCAGTGTCACGCTTTGAACGCAAATTTTGTATCAGCACTTCAAAACTTATGAAAATCAGCTATAAAATGTAATAAAAAACCAACGAGGAACATGAAATGAATCACAGTATTGACACTTCCGAGTCTGGAGTCGGTGTTTTGACGATGTTGGCGACTGCGACTCCGACTCTGGCTTGAACGAGTCTGACCTCACAGGCATTCTCAGAAAGGTACCCCCATTTTTTCCCGACTCCAAAATCTCATCGGATCTGTATCGATCTCAGGGGGTGCCCGGTCCGAGGTTGGGGGGGCAAGCTGCCCCGCTTGCCCCCCCGTGGCGACGCTAATGGGCCCAACCATCTTTCACTTACGCTTCCAGTACATGGGGACTGGATACAGGCGATGTCCGGCTAGAGGGTCAGTCAAAAGTCACGGTCTGCTTTTTTTTTCTTCTTCAAAATAGCATATCACTCAGGAACAGGTGACCTGAAGCACTCTTACCACAGTCCCAGAGGCGATTGCAGGAGGACAAGCACTATTGACCGTCGGGGCACCATCCCGAGTGAGCATAGCGTCCACCGTCGGGGCACGGTCAGGAGTGAGCTAAGGTCCACAGCCGGAGTGAGCTAACGGTCCTGGTCGGGATCCGGTCAGGATTGAGCGAACTAGGGTCCACATCCGGACGTACACGGACGTTTGGACTCCCGGGTCTCAGCTGGGTGTGGACCGCGCTCTGCAGGCCGGCGGAGGACCGCGGCGTCGGCCAGCCACGGCCGGTCCACCTCAAACACTGTGCAGGAAACCGGGACCGGCCGGCGACCGCCCCGTGCCAACTAGTCGAGTGACTCGTCCGGCCGGCAGCCCGTAACCCCGGTACACAGCAGAGGAGAGGGAGGACGGCCAGTGAGCCTGCAGACTTGCATTTAGCTGCGGATCGCACAGACACTAAGATACTGGCCCTGCGGAAGCTACTCATGAGTCATTGGACTCTAATATGAAAATGTTCGGACCGAATACAATGCATTTGGGAGAATGGGAGCGACGGGATCCCGCAGACGCCACGAGCACTCAGCCCGCAGTAGGTGTCCTGGCCAGGCCAGACGCTCCAATGTATCGCCATGGGGATAAGGTCGCCGGCCGCAGGACGTTCGGAGGCGATGCGACTCGGGGAGTTTTGCCGGCCAATAAGGAAACTACCCGTCAGAGGAGGCCGGCCCGCCGCCTTCGCGACAAGGCTGCGACCGATTTGCCTGCTACGATAAACCCGAGGGCTAACACCGCGGTGTGAAATATCAGCCAGACACGACTATCTAAGGGTGTTTCACTAAAAGTGTCAAAAAGTAAAAGGTCATAATGCACATAATAACAATGTTTTCTACGAAAATTTGCATACCATTTCATCCGCAATTGTTGGACATTTGAATATATAAAAACGATAGCACCGTCACTCAAACCTATTCCACATATCCGCCCCTTCTTTTGATGCACCGTTTCGGCACGTGTCCGGAGGTGCCTCACAGCCCGTTTTCATCTTCAGCGTCCAGACTGTCGGCAAAACCTTGAATGGTGCTCTTCAGCTCCCGAAGTGATGCGACTTGAGTCTTCCTCAGCTCTGCGAGTGCTACTGACCAAAACCAGAAGTAAAACGGTGACAGATCGGGGCTTTGCGCTGGCCAGAGGCGGGCGGCGAGGCAGCTGATTTTTTTTTTGTGCAGGAACTTCTAATCCAGCCAGTTCCTGGTGGTTACAGCCATTATAGTGGCTGTTTTTGATAACTTGCAAGGCCTTGGCTATTTCTGATGTTGAAATTAGCTTCTTGTTATCTTCAAAGACCCTCAAAAAGACCCTGACCTTTTCAACGGTTTCCGCCGAGAGGTGGGGGACCCTGTCTTTTTTGGACTGCGACCGGCATCGAAGGAACCCTTTTAAACCTCTCAAGAAGCCCTTTGAACCTTTTATAATCTGGAACGTAGCGAGGTGAGAGAATAAAACGTTTCCTGAAAAGTCGGCATACGGTTTCAATGTTTCTGATGGCACCAAAGGTAAGTGTAATTCACCCCTCCTGTTGCGGTGTAAATAACCTGTTCTTGTTCTGCATAAGGAAAAAACGACTAGTAACTTTGGCCTCCTGCCCTCGCTCCGTATGAGTGTAAAATATATCTTAAATGGACAAAGCATAAATGTCCAAAAATTTGCAACCAAGCCACGTGCGCAACCACGTGATTTGCATATTTTATATAACTTTAATAGGCATTTACTTTTTGACACTTTTAGTGAAACACCCTGTAGTATCTACCTACATACTTTTAGGAAAATTGGACGCGTTCTGTGCAGGGATGCGGAGCCGTGGAAATTTCAGACGGCTCCGGCTCCGGCTCCGGCTCCGGAGAAAAAAATCGGCTCCGGCTCCGGCTCCGGCTCCGGGTGAAATGTCATGGCGGCTCCGGCTCCGGCTCCGGCTCCGAGTAAAATGGTCCGGCTCCGGCGGCTCCGGCTCCGGCTCCTACTCAGTACATCCCCTATGCGATCAATTAACCCGGCCGGGCCCGGGGGGTAATCCCAACCACCGTAGCCCGGGGGGGGCGTTTTTCGCCCCCCTGTCTAACACCGTAAATAAGGGAGCTACAGAAACAAAAGCGATACCAAACGAAAGATCCTTACGAGACGATTCTAACGCACCTAAAATTTTTGACCTCAGGTCAATTTTCAAGGTCAGAGGTCAAGGTCAAAGGCAAAAACCGGCACGTGTAGTGATATCAAAGTAAGCGTTCTAGAGGACGGCAGGATGCATAAAACCGGCAAAATTGGGTGTCAAACGAAAGAAGAGAATCTGAGGATTCCGAAAATGTGCTCAAAATCAAAGGTCAAGGTCAAGGTCATGTCAAAATTGACCTCAAACTTTGCACTTTTTCGTACATCTTGCGTGCTAACTTCCAAGATGTTTTGAAATGTTTTGAGGCTTATCAGGTCCCTATTTGTGGTTCATCTTAAGATACAAGGCTGCTAAAAGGTCAAGGTCACAGAAGAGTATCCTTGCTAGAGGCTATTTCACTGATTCACTGATTCTAGAGGCTATTTCACATTATTAAGGTCAACCAAAGGTCATTCGAGGTCACATGAGGTCAACATAAAACTTGACCTTTTCCAAACAAAATATATATCATTCGACGCGGCTTGACAAGGCGAATGCGATGGTACCACTGCCGTAGCTCTAGGTCCATTTTTGTCGAAGTTATTTGCGAAAAACTAAAACCACATTTCGGGGTCGTTGACCTGACCTCTGACCGCAGGTCACCAAACTAATTTTCTATTTTTTTCTAGGTCAAACGCTACACAACCGTGCTCGTAATTTGTATTTATTTCTAAAACTATTTTTAGCAGCTATTTGAAGTTCGCGCCTGTGACGCCGAAGTTTGCCGTGCAGGGGTCTAGAAAAATCGAGCCTGTGACGTCATCAAGGGGGCTAGGTCCAAATTTTTTACTTCAGAAGATGTCAAATTGATGGGAGAAAAGCTACTGAAAGTTTCGCTTTCCTATCCCTAAGCGTTCGGGAGCTATCGCAAATATTCGCCGGGGGGGGGGGCGAAAAACGCTCCCCCCGTGCCCGCGAGGGTTAAATACGGGTGGAAGAAAAAAGGCGATGGGATTGGTACACGTTGCTTCTGTATTTGTATAACAAGGCTATTTTGAATACCACATTGTTTTACGCCTTGTACTGTCAAACCGAACTAGGTAAATAATTTTTTCCTCTTAAAAAAGGAGCCGGAGCCGTCCCCTTTTTTGACGGCTCCGGCTCCGGCTCCGGCTCCGGGCTATATGGTTTCACGGCTCCGGCTCCGGCTCCGGCTCCGGGCAAAATATGCCGGCTCCGGCGGCTCCGGCTCCGGCTCCGGCTCCGGCTCCGCATCCCTGGTTCTGTGCCATCGAACTGCCATCCAAAAAATGAAACAGATTGTTTTATCAAAATGCGCGTGCCTATACTAGTTATTTGATCGTTACGAACTCAGCGAGCGCTCCGATTCACTGGCCTCCCTGCTCTCTTTATCACCAGCTCGGCCCTCTGCCAGCTCTCTCCTCCCGTGCCCAGCCCCCTCCCCCTCCCCTCGGCCGGCCGCCCCCACCGCAGTGTGTTTACGTGTCTGCCCGTGCAGCCCCGCCCGCTGCTGGGCGGCGGGTGCGCTATCACATCACAGGTCCTGACTCACGCCTCCTCGAGCTCAGCGGCGGACAGGGCGGCGCCCAGCCCGTGGCCGAGCACCGGTGACCCAGGTCAACAAAGGACAGTGACCCAGGACACGTGACCCAGGTCATCACCTGACCCGTAACCCAGTGTCCCGTCACTCAGGAATCTAAAAACGCTTCTGCATAAAATAGTGCGAGATAGACCGAGTCGGCAGACGTTAGGTGGTGGTGCTGACCGAGTCGGCGGGCGTTAGGTGGTGGTGCTGACCGAGTCGGCGGGCGTTAGGTGGTGGTGGTGACCGAGTCGGCGGGCGTTAGGTGGTGGTGCTGACCGAGTCGGCAGGCGTTAGGAGGCCGTGCTGATCGCCGGTGGTCGGGTCGGTGTCTGCAGGGGTTCCCTCGTCGGCCCCACACGGCGTGCCGACCCCCGCCAGCGCGGCTCTGACTGTTTACCGGGCCAGCTGGGCGGTTTCGGCTGGCGGCTCCGGCTGCGCCCCCCCCCCCGCCCTCCCTCCCGCGGCGGCGGTGGCGGGCGGCGCCTCCCATGCAGCGGCCAGCGGCGCCACGCCGCCGCGTGACGCAACGGGACAAGGTCGGTCCGGTCCGGTCCGGTCCGGGCCGCGCCGGGCGGCGGCCGCTGCTGGTCCGCCGTAGGTGGTGAGTTGGACCTGCGGCGGGCCGCAGCGCTCGGCGTCTCACCTGTATAAACTGGATGGTGATGGCCGACTTGCCGACGCCGCCGCCCCCCACGATCACCAGCTTGTAGGTCTGGTTGTAGCCGCTGCCACCACGGTCGTTGCTGTACTTGGACATGGCTGCTGCGGTTACAGAGCTACCGCATGGGCCCAGCGCACACCACCGACCACCGTCCCGAGCCCGTCCCCACCGCGCACTAACAGCCCGGCGCTCCTCTGCTGCCAGCCGGAGACGACACGATACGAGCGCGCATCCGACCACCACCGCCAGACCGCACTGCCGCCGCCGCCGCCACTGGGCCGGCCCGCTCCGTCACCACGAGACTGTACGGGGGCGTGGAGGCCGTACAGTCTCTAGCAGCCGTAGTAGAGCGGTCCAGTGCGGGCCGGTGACTGAGGTGTACGTGCTGCCATCTATCGACTGGTCTCGGAATGTCAGTGTTGGGGTGCCCCGTGCCTTTGACGGGTCTGACGAGGGATCGTGGACATTCAACTTTTTTTTGTTTATTGCTAATAATTTCTCCGTTATTCCCACTGAGTGCATTTTGGCCTTCCCTGAACTGACAGCACATATATAACTAGATGGCAAGCTGAAACATATATTATCTACGAGTGCCTACTATGACCGACAGTACCATTATCATCGGACACAAGGACAAGAGTGACACACACAAGCTGTGACTGTGCACGAAGCATTACCTAAATCATTGCAGCGGAACATCAGTGGTAGAATCCACCATAGCGACCCGAGCCCGCGTACCCTCCGCCGAGGTAGGAGCCTCCCCCAAGGCCACCGCGGTGCCCTCCGAGACTACTGTACCCTCCGCCGAGGTACGAGCCGCCGCGGTACCCTCCGCCGAGGTACGAGCCGCCGCGGTACCCTCCGAGACCACTGTAACCTACAAGGCCTCCGTAGCCTCCAGTCAGGCCTCCGAAACCTCCACCTAGGCCTCCAAAGCCCCCAGCAGCCAAGCCTCTGTAGCCTCCACCAAGGCCTCCGAAACCTCCGGTCAGACCTCCGTAGCCTCCAGTGAGACCTCCGAAGCCTCCAAGATAGCCGTAGCCCGGTCTCAGCACCGCAGTCTGGGTGTATACGTTGACAGGAGTACCGGCCGCCTTCACACTCGAGATTCCTCCTAGTCCTCCGTAGGAGCCGCCGAATCCTCCCAGTCTGCCGTATCCACCGCCTAGGCTGCTGAATCCGCCCTGCCTGCCGAATCCTCCCAGTCCTCCGTATCCGCCCAGTCCTCCCAGTCTGCCGTATCCACCGCCCAGGCTGTTGAATCCGCCCAGTCTGCCGAATCCTCCCAGTCCGCCGTATCCACCCAGTCTTCCATATCCGCCGTATCCTCCCAGGCTGCTGAATCCGCCCTGCCTGCCGAATCCTCCCAGTCCTCCGTATCCGCCCAGTCCTCCCAGTCTGCCGTATCCACCGCCCAGGCTGCTGAATCCGCCCAGTCTGCCGAATCCTCCCAGTCCGCCGTATCCACCCAGTCCTCCATATCCGCCGAATCCTCCCAGTCCGCTGTATCCGCCCAGTCCTCCCAGGCTGCTGAATCCGCCCAGTCCGCCGTAGCTGCCGAAGCTGCCGTATCCTCCCAGTCCGCCGTATCCTCCCAGGCTGCTGAATCCACCCAGTCCGCTGAAGCCGACGAAGCTGCCTTGGCCGAGACCGCCAAGAGCACCGTATCCCCGGAGACCGCCGTAGTAACTTCTCAGCCGTCCCAGGCCCCCGAGGCTGCTGGAGCCTCCAAAGCCGCCGAAGCCGAGGCCGCCCAGCCTTCCGTAGCCGCCGTACCCTCCATAGCTGCCGTAGCCGTACCTCCCGCCGTAGCCGTACCTCCCGCCGTAGCCAGCGACGGCAGAGGCCACCAGACAGAGCAGGATCACCAGCTGGGGAAGGTTTGTGAGTGGTTCGGTAAGCAGAAATGTGGAGCGCGGTCTGCTGCTGTGACATGCAGGCCAGGTACCCAAATGACATATATAGGTATTATATATGAGCTCACAATATGGTTCTTGAACACGATACACGGTAATAATAGCTGGGATCAGATGCAAGCCATTGCGATCGTAAGGCCGTAAGACAGAAGTGAACATTAACATAAATATGCTAACAGCAAGACACTATAACACAGCAATAACGTATAGCATTCTGTAATGTGGTGCAACCATAAGGTGCAGTGAACTATGAATATAGACGTTTGTGCATGGCAATTGGCATCTACAGTAGAGTATCAGTAAAAGCAGAATCCTGCGTCCGGTGACTAGTACCAACCTTCATGTTGCCGGAGCTGTGTTGTGCTGTGGGAGGCTGACGGCTGTCAGTGACTCCTGCAGCGCCGCAGTCCACATTTATACCGCGCGGACGGCCGGTACGCACAGCGGCCTCCTCACGCAGCGGACAGAGCCGGCAGCGTAACGCGTAACGCAGCGGCCGTCGACCACACCCCCCCCCCCCCACCAGAGAACTGCACAACACGTGCAATACCTATCGGAAAAGCCGTCCACTCTGCCCCGGTTTCCTCTTGTCACGCCCCCGCTAAAAGCGCTCAACAGGAAAAGAAAAGGAATAGGCGTGAGAAAAATGCGCACAGCGTACGCCTGGCTGATAGGACTCGGAACAATTCGCACCGTAAGGCATCAATTACATCATGTGAAAGGGAGCGGTGTAAATCGGCGCCGAACGACGGAGAAAAGCGGAAAAGTTTCATTACACGACCTCTAGAGTTCATTATACATGTGCATACGAAATACGAATTGGCCAGTTCAGCTGAGGCCGAGGTGTATGTAGTTCAAGGGGAGGTGTTCCGTCGTCACGAGATACCAAAACGCGCAGCGCCGCTGAATTACGACAGACGCTATATATCATATATACCTATCTACCTATCACGTATACCTACTGAAAGTTTGAATACGAAAGAAACAGATCCAGATGTGCAGGAAGAAGGCCGTGTCATTACATAGGTACGCCGAGCTATTAAATAGAAGTTGTTAAAAGGGAGAAAAATGATTGTGCTCTCATTTCAGCGGTCTTCAGCAATGTCACGCTCAGAAAAGCATGGTCTGGTGCTGCTCATCTCACAAACATGTAACACATATGTCATTTCTTTTGACTAGTCCCTTTCATATTGTATATTCCAACCCATTCCGAATTGGACATTGTACAAAATCGGAACTCCGAATGTCAAGGTTCCGAGTGGCACTACCATAACAGATGAAGTATGTAAGATTGGGATAGTTTTTATCGAACAGAAATGATAGACGTTCTGTTTATTGAAGAGAGGCGATTTCTGTCAGTTCACCGGTGTGCAGCGTGCAAATATTGATCCTCTGCAACTGATATTTTTGTTGTTGTGTTGATTTTTCAAATGAAGGTTTGTTTAGAATTGTTTTGCCTATTTGTTTATGGATCTAACAACATCGGTGCTGACGAGATTATCGTTTTTATGGCACGTAAAGGCGTATGTTCAAATCACCCCACGGTGGGGCAATTAATTTGAAGTTTGAACACGCCGTGACTTGGTGGAGGAGTGAGGCCATGCTATCCAAGGTATGCTCGGCTCGTCTAAAAATGAGGCTTGCATGGTGAAAGCAAGTGACATTTGCGCTACTGAAACAGCCCTTTCTTCATCCAGAGTTTAGCTGGAATTTGGTAGGACGGAGAAGACGTAAAAATATTTTCAAATGGCACTCCACCATACCATTTTCTCTAATAGGAGCCACCCTTAGTCTAATAGTTCTAAATAAGTTCGTATGGTGTTTTAGTTCCTTTCATAAATGTTGCACTCATTTTTTAAAGAAACGTATGAGAGAATAAGCACAGATGCATACCTCCTACTTCTACCTAACCTTTTCAATAAATCTGGGAAACTAGAACTAAAAATATGAACTGCAATCTTTGTTTAAATAGCTTGAAAATACGTTGCAAACTATGTTGCTTACCAATCTCAGGGACACTCGAAGGCTTATTATGAAAGGGCTCATTCATCAATCAGATACGCTCCTGTCTATCAGATCTTTCAGCAGGGCAGCAGCCGAGTGGGGCACGCCGACATCGGTGACGGTAGACATTACATGAATCGCTGGCCACTACCCGTGAACGGTTTAGTGCCCATGGGTCTAAATCGTGAACCCTTTCACATTTTAGCGTAGGGGAGAGCGGGGCCAGTTGAAACACGGGGTCAGATGAAACATGGCTTTATTTTCAACAATATGCAACATATGGCGTTGCCGACACCACTGCGCATCCGCGCTCGACCACTATCTTTGTCAACGGCGTTTGGGCGGCAAACGGACGGTAATTTTGATTTGACACTTGTTTTTGTGTTTTTGAGGGGCGTTTGGGAGAAATCGTTTTTATGAATATTTTGTGATATCTCATATACCTTTGTTTGCTGAAAGAAGAACTCCTGGCTCCGGAATAACACCTTATTTGGCCCTTCATTCAGCATGATGCCGTCCCTCCAGCTCGTTTGACATGTGTTTTACGGCGCGTGCGAGAGGGCGGGAGCGGATGGGGTCAATTGAAACGCTTCTCTGAGGGTCAGTTGAAACAGGGCCACAGGCCGTTTCAATGGACCCCGGTGACCTTTGCAATGGTAATTGTTCAGGGGCTGTAAACATTAAAGGAAATAGTCCACCTTTGAAATGAGCTTTTAAACTGAAATAGTAGTTTAATAGAGCTCAATTTTTGACCCCTTTTTCTCCAGCCTTTTGCTTGAAAGCATACTATAGCCTGAGATATTTCTCATTTTTCTCATCTGCCCATTTTACCATAGTCTATGTACTTTATGTCACCTATTATGAGGAACTTTGCACTTTTAGCTTTCCAACGACCTATTGAATGTAGCATTTGGAAAAGTAAACCGGACAAAATATCTCCTTAAGAAAGTGGTCTTAAAGAGGAAAACATCCCATTGTTAAAGATAGGTGCAATTGACCCCATGGGCTGGTTCAATTGACCCTCGCATCGGGGTCATTTGAAACGGGCGTAGAGCTGTTTTATAAGCATGCGTTTGGCAGCAAAATATGTTTGAAACATAATTTTACATATCTTAAAATAAAGCCAAAAGAGCATATTTTTTCATGGCATTGTGCATTTTTCGATATGACAACTAGATCTCGCTGTGCATGTCAATATATAAAAAGTGGTTCATCTGGCCCCGCTCTCCCCTAGACATTGCATCACCTTATCCAGCATTTTGTGCATTTTTTTTTAGCAACTGGTCAAACTTTTCATGTCTCCTTCGGCCTAAGGCGCTGGTGATTATAAATACATCGACAGTAAATTATTCAGTGGTGGCCGTCTTACTCGTGTTAAGCTTAGCGCCTACATATATCAACTTGTCCAGTCTGTCTTAAAGGGACCCTCCCACCTTCAAAAAAGTTAATGAATTGGCACAAAAGTGATGTCGCTCGGTTCAGAAAGAGCGAAAACGAATATCTACCAAATTTCATCGAAAAATATTCACCGGTTTTCAAGATATTAGACTTTTACTTTTGTTTACTTTTCGGGATCTCCGCTGTTCCTAGCGACTTTATTTGAAAGTGCGGCATTTGTTGCGCGCAAAGCAGCATATACCACCGCGTGCTACCAAACGTTTTAGTAAAAGATTTAAAAATCGTTAGATCTCCGCTGACGTCACAAATTCTAAGGGGGCATACCAATGCACTAGCCCCTTAGAATCCGAAAACTGCAAGTTTGAAATTCCATATCTCCGAATTAAAGCATTTGTCGATGTTGTGAGTGCCCAAACCGGTATTTGCAGGCCATGGCCACCAATTTGGCTATCTCAACTCAAAACTAATGTTAACCCGCGCGGGGCTGGGGTCTCCAGCCGAACGCGCGGGGCTGGGGGGGGGGTAAATTTTACCCCCCCTGTTATCTCCCGAACTAATGGTCCGATTTGGAAAATTCAAACGCCAATCGAAAGCTCTCATCACGAACTACTAAAAACATGTACTTAATTTAAAGTTTGAGGTCAAGGTCAAGGTCAGGTCAAGGGTACAAATTGCAAGTTTCTACAGTATCGGCCTTGCACCGTAGTTGCCGAAGAATGGAGTCATGGACTGAGACTGATCGCCCAAAACGTGTTCTTAGGCTACCAAGACAATATTCGTTGCATACAATATCATTCAGAGGTCAAGGTCAAGGTCAGGTCAGGTCAGGTCAGGTCACCAAAAAACAAAATATAGAAAAGGGCATGTGCGACACATGTTTTATGGGTCATTTTACTCATAGAATTCAATAGGCACACTCAATAAGTGATATGGACCACCTCTGGATGAATTTCAGGTCGAGGTCAGGTCAAGGTCAGGTCAAGTGAGGTCAAATTTTGAAGTTGGTTGTTAAGGCCTAAAAAGGTGTCTATCTGATGCAGTTTTTCACGGCGAATCGAATGGTGCTATTTTTGTTTCCGTACGAGGTCTAGAACTTCCAAAAAAGTCATTTTTCAAAAAAATTGTGTGTCGTGACGTCATAAAATTTTGAATAACTCCCACATTTTTGAACCGATTCTTCTAAAATTTGGTATGTAGGTGCACATAGGCCACTTCTCTGACATATATTCCGGTTTTTTCGATAGACTTAAAATTTTGGATTTTATCATGATTTTCCCAAAAAAAATCAGTTTTTTGAAAAAAATTAGGCCAAAATCCAAAATTTTCAAAAAACCGAGATAGCCATTTGATAGACAAAGTAAAATTACGTATAACCTTTTTTGTTACGTCTTGATTCCTTTAAAAATGAAGATGTTAGCGGCGTTTGAACTTTTGCCGTTTTTGAGGCGAAAATGGCGAACATGACGTCACTAAAACGTCAATTTCTCAAAAAATTTCCGACGGATTTCGCTCAAATTTTCAGGGAACGTGTCAAATTGATGTAAGAAAAGGTACTGAAAGTTTGGCGGCGCTGCGCGCCGCCGTTTTTGAGATACCGCAAAAATTCGCGAGGGGGGGTAAAATTTACCCCCCCCCCAGCCCCGCGCGGGTTAAGGTGGGAGTGTCCCTTTAAAAGTACCGCGCAAAGTAGCGGTGGATCCACCAAGCCTGACCAGGCATCGGTAAAATCCTTTTTGAAAGGATTGCATTCCCAATCCACATTCCTAGTGCCGAAGTGGGTTGCATTCCTACCCGCAATCCCCTTTTTCACTTGGATTGTGATCAAATCCGCAATCCTTTTTTGCAATCCTGTTGTATTATTATGTGCACTAGTGGATCTGGGGGAAGGGAGGGGGGGACATAGGGCCGTGCCTCCATCCCCAAATCACCCATTTCTAGTGCCTAGTCTTGCGAGTAATTCCTATCTAAGGCACAGGTATTTTATGGGAAATATTTTTTTGCCTCAAACACCCCCACATTTAAAC